TAGTAGTAGTAGTAGTACTGACTACTAAGTAGTAGGAGTCGAGTAGAGTAGTAGTAGTTAGTAGTAGTAGTAGTATAAGAATAAATTTAATTTCCGATGGGTAGTAGTAAGTAGTTGTTGTTGTAGGTAGCCGTAAGTATATTAGTAAGTGAGTAGTAGTAGTAGTCGTATTATTAGTAGTATAGTGGTATGTAAGTAGTAGTAGTATTGTTAGTAGTAGTAGAAGTAGGAGTAGGAGTAAGGAGTAGGAGTAGTAGTAGTATAGTAAGTAGTAGTACAGTAGTAGTATTATTATAGTAGTAAGGCAGGAGAGAGGAAGTAGGTTGGGAAAGTAAGTAGTAAGGGGGATGAAAAAAGGCTGGCAGAGTAGTAGGGAGGTAAGGAAGTACCAAGAGTAGTCTGTAAATTGCTGGAAAAAATAGTTATTAGTAGTATTCGTATAGAAAGCAAGTAGTAGTGATATATTGTAGGGACACACAATAGTAGTACTACTACTACTATTAATCGTAGTCGTAGTCGTAGTCGTAGTCGTAGTCGTAGTGGTAGTCCTAGTATTAATATTCATAGTCATCGTAGTCGTAGTCGTAGTCGTAGTCGTAGTCGTAGGGAGTATGAGCAGGAGTAGCAGCAGCAGTACACTGATAGTTCCCAGTAACCATGTTAGTAATTTGATTGCTCTTACGAATAGAATCCTCGAAGTAGAAGAAATAGGATTGGCAGTGGAAAAAAACACGGGTATGGTTCGCAATACTGCTGGTATTGTGAATATGGCTATTACAAATATGTTTAATGTAATACTACTATCATTAACAGCGTTATTGATTACGACTACACTGGTTATGATACCGGAGAAAAACCATCAGAGTCTTGTTAGGGCTAGAATTGGGCTATAAGGATATTTAGCTATGGGGTTACAAGGCTATTCGGTTACAGGGCTACAGGGCCATAGGGCTGTAGGTCTTCAGGGCTATATGGCTATAGCGCTGTAGGGCCATTGGGCTATAGGGCTGTGGGGCTATAGGGCTATGGTGCTCTGGGGCCCTGGAGCTGTAGGGCTATAGAGCTATAGGGTCATAGGGCTATAGGTCTATATGGCTATGGGGCTATAGGGCTGTAGGGCTACAGGGCTATAGGCCTATAGGGTTATGAGGCTATAGGGTTATGGGGCTGTAAGGCGTGGAGAGCTATAGGGCTATAGGGCTATAGGGCTATGGGCTAGAAGGCGATAGGGCTATAAAGCTATAGGGCTAAGGCGCTATAGGGCTATCGGGCTTTAGGGCTATAGGGCTATGGGGCTGTAGGGCTATAAGGCTATAAGGAATGTAGAGCTATAAGGCTATAGGACTATAGGGCTATAGGGCTACAGGGCTATAGAGCTATACGGCTATTTGGCTATTGGGTTACAGGGCTATGCGGCTATAGAGCTATACGGCTATAAGGCTATAGGGCTATAAGGCTATCGGGCTATGGGGCTAGGGGCCATAGGGCTATGAGGTTTTAGGACTATAGGGTTGTAAGGCACCTGGGCACCTGGGCACCCGGGCGGGCCGCGGAAATCGGTGGTAAACCTCACCTAAACACTTGAATCCGCTAGGACCCCTACAGAGGCAAACTCTGATTGGGGAAATATTCGTCCTCATCCTCGTCCTCTTCCTCATCATCTCCTCCTCCTCCCCCCCAGAAAAATTAAAAAAAAATGCGTCTTCAGTTCGTTCGGAACAGTGTTCCGAAAGGAACCGAACCGTGGCAACGAGAAGCCACGAGAAGCCGCCTGATTGCAATTCGCCGGCCCAACGGGCCAGGGCGTGCTAAGATCTCCGGTACCTGGTTAACAATATTTCTAGTTCGCGCGCGCGGGGCGGCCCCTGGGGGTCCCCGGACGAAAAGTACCCCGGCAAGGTCCCGGCAAGTCCCCGGCAAGGTCGGGTCAGAGATGCCAGAGTTCTGTTTCGGAGTCCAAGAGGGCTCCAGATCGGTCCAAGAGGGCCCCGAGAAGCTTTCTAGACGGTCCAAGAGAGGCCCGAGACGGCCAAAGATCACCCGAAGACGCCCCAGATGGCCCCAAGACAGCCCAAGAGGCCTCCAATACGCTCCAAGGGCCTTCCAAGAGGCCTCCGAAGAGGGCCCCAAGTTGCCAAAATCGTTGATTTTCATTGGTTTTTTTATGTTTTTTTGCGTTCTGGCCTTTTCGCTTCCGGACGCTCCAAGAGGGCCCAAGAGGCCTTCAAGACTGCTCCAAGACGGCCCACGAGGCTCCCAAGACGGCCCCGGAGCGGCCCAAGAGCGCCCCCCAGCCGGCCCAAGTGCCGCCCAAGGCGGACCAAGAGGCCCCAAGACGGGCCCAAGAGGGGCTCAAGAAGGGAACCGAGAACTGAAAAATCGAGCCCTCCGCCCCATAAGGCGCCCAGGACCCCGAAAGAGGCCCCAAGAGACTCTCCAAGACACCCCCAAGACGCCCCAATAAGCTCCCGTGAGGCCCCAAGAGGACCAACAACGTCAG